TTGCACTCCTGCTTGACCCTTTGCCAGTCTGTACTTTTATGAACGAATGCCCCAATACCACCCCCCTTTCTGCTGCCTTCTGTTCTATTACAATATTCCCACGCGTAGTCTGCATTTTTAGGAGGTTGTTTCATGTCCCTGATATGTGTTTCTACAAAATCGTATACCATCGGCCTCTCCTCCCTTAGCTGTTCTTCTATCTCTTCCCACTTCAGCCTGTTCCTACCACCCTGCATGTTAATATACAATATGTCTAAATTGGCTCGGCGCTTGTGGCTACGTCTATTTCTGCCCCGGACTCTACCTATCTCAGATACTGGTGCCACTTTGGAATCTCCATACCACATGTCAAAGAGTCTCCCTGGTCGTTTTCCCAGTTAGTAGCTATCCTGCACCCCGAAGGACCCGCTTGCCCCCCAAAAAAGCTACTGCGTGTCCTGCAAGTCGCCGACCCACCTCATGACCTAGCCGCCAATCGAAGTGAATTCTGTCTCGTTGAAAACCACGCCACCTATGCACCTCTCTGTTTATTTCCACCACCTCAAAGCCTTTCTCTCGACTCACCCGCAATATCTCTTGGTTTGCATTGACATCCGCTCTTTGCAGGTTGCTATCATGCACCGGTACCTCCGGTATCTTGCATATCACTACTTGTACCTGAGAAGTGGCGCGCATGACGTTTTTTAACCATTCCTTTATGACACCAATTGTCCTTAAGACTTGTCTCACTCGATAATTACAAAACACGATCCCTGCCTTACGAAAAAGAGAGTCTAAGCTCTACTACAAAAATTTGCGTGTTCAATGTATGTGCACCTCCCCCACGGGGTGGCAAAAAAAAAAGCAACAAAAAACGAAAAAATCAAACACACACACACGCACAAACTAATAAATACCTGGTGACTGACCCCCAAAAAAGCCGTACAGTAAAATGAGTGCTACTAAGATTTTGACTGCTGCCTTATAATTATAAAGACAAGCTCAAAACATGCAAAACCACTTATCTGCGCAGTCGATCGGGAGCGCTAAAAAAATATGTCCATATCTCGCGGGCAAAAGCGCGCCTGCCATTAGCTGCTGCGCTGGAAGCGGGGGTGGTCCCTTTCAATGATGCCACGTCCGGCGCGCTCATCTCCCTATTGCTCTCTGCTCTGTCCACTTTGACAGACGTTTGCCTACGGGCCGCTTTTTGCCTTGCGCTGTATTTTCGATCAGTTTCTTTTCGTTTTTTTTTTGTTCGCAAAAGTTCTGTGCCCTTCATCGTTGTTGCTGAGCCTGATGCTGGCAACGAAGTCGAAGACGGGCGCTAGTTCGGACCAAGGAAACGCGTTATGCGGATTCTATGAGAATCGATATTCTGCTTTTCTGCTGCACGTGCCCAGTGTGTAGATGCTTGCAGCGGCAAAACTGTGCTGTCGGCTGCCACCAGTTCAGAATCTGGCAAACCCTATATATCTGAAGCTGCGAATGCATCGAGCTTGTCTGAGATCCCAGGATATAGCACACTCTCTGAATTGGTACCATCGGGCGTGACACCGAAAGTAGCTAAAATAGCCAGACCCAGCACTTCGTCTGCATCGGGGCGAATAGCATGCATGGGCCGTCGACCCTTCATCTGTGGATGCATTTTCTAAGAAAGGAAGAAATCGATGCAAATGCAAGATGTCGAGACGCCGTTCGCGCTGAACTCGAATCTACGCCAGCGACGCAGAAAAATATTTGAATTGATGCAGCCGGCTCTTGAAAAAGATGCCTTACGTCTGAAAAAAAATTCTAAACGGCACTTAGAGAAGATGGAGAGAAGACAAAAGAAGAAAACAGTGCACAAGGACACTTCAAGCTACTCTGCTGGAACTTTTTGAGGAAAACACATGTGCTGAACTTTCAAAGCCAGTTTTCTCAAACTGCTTTTTTTAACTAGATGTGGTGCTAAGAAAGCGATTTCTAAAGAACTGCTTATCAGATTTGTGTAGCATTTATTTTATTCTGCTCTTGGAAGATTTCGCCAGGGTGTAACAAACTCCTTTTTTTTGAAAATTGGTGCCAATAATTATTAATAAACAATTAATTTTGACAAATGTCATACCTACTAGCTACATCAAATTCAAAGTTGAATAAAATTTTTTTGGAGGGGAAATTGAAAATACGGCTCCGTAGCAACCTAGGATATCTATCCAGGAATAACCACAAATAATTTCAGCCTTCTGGTATGTCCTGGGATTTCTTCCAGCTCTTCCTCAGCCACACAAGTGAACCACACAGTTAGGCCTCAGTAACTAGAACCCCTGAACACGATTTCATGAAACTTTGCTGTTTTTCTAGTTTTAATGTAGTGAACATACCCTGAAAGATTATGATATCTTAAAAAATAAAGAAGCTCGGTTTTCTGGGTAGCTTCCCTCCTTAAAACAGACATTCTTGTTTACATGGCAGGCCATCCCCACGCAAGCGTGCGTGGTCTGTGTGCAGAGACCGGCGTTTCCAGTAGCAGCGTTTGGTACATACTCAAGAGCGGAGGACTTCACCCATACCACGTTCTTCTGCATCAACAGCTGGACAACAGAGATTTGCAAAGCCGTCTTGACTTCCGCAACTACTGGATACTCATACAGGAAGAAGGTAATCCCGGCTTCCTGAAGAATATAATCTGGTACGATGAAGCTCGCTTTTCGCGCAATGCCCAAGTCAATGTTCACAATGGTCATTACAAGAGTGCTACAAATCCTCACTAGCTGTTGCAGTCACAACACCAGGTGCAGTGGTGCGGCATTTACGACGGCAAAATTATCGGTCCGGTCTTTTTCGATGGAGCACTCACCGCGAATGCTACACCAGCGAAATACCAACTTCACCTGCAACCTCCCTCTAGCACAGCTTAGGAATATCTGATTCCAGCAAGACGGAGCTCCTCCGCACAACTCTGAGCAAACTCGAACGTGGCTTGATCAAGAATTTACCGAAAAATGGATCGGCTGTCTTGGACCTGTAGAGTAGCCCGCAAGATCCCCAGATTAGACTCTGCTGGATTTCTTTCTATGGGGATACATTAAAGACCACGTCTACACCGAAGCGACGACAACGACCGCTATACTGAAGTCTAAAATAGCAGATGTGTGCCGCTCTATTACTCCACGAATGCTATGAAACGCGACAGAAAATGTGCTGACTCGATGTAGATTGTGTATAGGGGCTCATGGAGGGCTCTTTGAGCACGCTATGTAATTGCCCATGACGTCTCAATAAAAGTGCTTTGGACTTTACAGTTACGCTGAGCTTCTTCCTCATTGCCGAGTGCCAACTTGGGTCACGGCGGGCACTTCAAATTCCGCTTCCTCAATCCGTTTCAAGTTCCGCGCACTCCAACCACTTTCAATTCCGCGCACTCATCACACATTTCACACATTTCACCCACAGCCAATCGTGCCGTATTCCTTGCAAGTATCCAGTAGAGCAATCACACATAAGTGATGCAGATATGAGCAAAAAAAAACCTGGAATAATTAACGTTGAAGTTTTTCTATCCTTCCTTTATCAAAATGTCACCCTCGCCCCCACCATTATGTTTATTGTCGGCCTGAGAAGAAAAACAAAGCCTGCGCTGCGTCAAATGCTGCCTCTGGTCTTGTATCACGTTGCATGTTGTGGCCCCTCTTTCATCAAAGTTTACTGTCTCCGTTTCTTTCTTTCTCCCCCCCCCCCCCCCCTTTTTTTTTAATAGCACCATCCAACCATCGCGTTATGTCCATCATAGTCACCGATAGCCAGTTCAAGCGACCTTCGTGCGTGAGAAGCCTTCGCTAATTCATTCAACTTACATTTGAGGGCACTCAAAGCGCCGCGTGTTAGGCGGCAATTACATGGTATTTTTTTTTAATTTCGCACACTTTAAACAAACCCTGTACAAAAATTAACCTGCATTGTTATCTTTTGATAACTTGAAAATTTTGTTATTTCTGGATAAGAGCTACAAGTCTTATATTGAAATTTTTCCTCTAGAGTCAGTATTTAAAAAGTTTATTAAGCAATTTTTGTTAGTTACTGTGCTTAGTGGATAAAAAAATATTCTGACGTGGTACATACAGCTATGAACAATACCGCGCTAGTTAGAGACGTGCAGCACTCATTTATAATTTTTTATTGCTTGGTGCCTTTCAACTGAAACACCCTGTATGTCGCGGACCACGAGAATTTAAAAATGTTCCCCTTGCACCGCCGTGATTCTTGACGGCATTGTGGGCACAAGAGAAGCCGGGCCATGCCATTATATTGGACTACGTGACAGCTGAGATCGCATGCAAGGCTGACACGTGACAATTTCACTCAACGATTCATACAGCCCGAGCAACCTCTACAAACTGAGTGGAACTACTATGCAACACACTTTGTGTAACTGCCACACATTACTAAATGCAACACATGCAGTTCGGTGACCGTATGTTTCGCTTGCATACATCACAAGGGGTTGTCTAACGCATTTGATACAGTAATATGATCATTTATTCAGCAATATGCAGGCAAAATTACAAGAAAAAATGCATACAGACATCTATGGTGATGGCCTATCCTTCGAGCTTTATGCTGGCCCGCCGTACGAATGGCCCTTTCAAAACACTCCGTCACACATCTGTGCTTTCCGTCACATCGAAAACATGACAGACTCTGTAAATTTAAATTCTTTCTTTGCATACCCCAATAGAATCATGCATTGTGAACTTTCTAAAAGCCTACACGTTCTACAAAACCTGTCGCCTTTGCACACACGCACTTGCACACAATGAGGGTGTGGCTAATGACGAGAATACGATTGATAGCACGCCAGTTGAAACTGAAGTGGCCACAAGTTGCCACTTGTGGCACTGGCAGCACAAAGGTGCAGTGGACTGTAGCGCTACCTGTAGGTGCTGCATGTTTCCCATACATTCGGCACTATTCAATACCTCAACACATAAATCAGACAGTGGTGATGGCAGTGGAGATTCAAAATAATGTAAGCTACTCACCCTTCATCCTCTCTAGATGAATGGGCCTTCCTAGGTACATCAACCTTGGGAGCAAAACTTCTCTTCTGTCCAGAGCTTCCGGATAAGGTTAGGTCCCTGGGTCCTCTTAAGGAAGGTAACCTGGAGGTAACAAAACAGCCTTCCTGCTTTGGATTTCTGCATAATAAATGAAAGCATAAATATGGGTACAAAAGTTAGGCACCTGCCCAAATGAAGGGAATAAGAGCAAGTTGGTTTACAATTTCCGAAGTTTAACAGACTCATTTATTAAATTGTACCAATTCTTTTTCCCTTATCTATTATAGCAATAATGACAGACTGCATGCAAAACAAGGTTAGGGAGCATGCTGGCCACAGGGCTAGACAAAAACTATATATAGCTACCGTGTCCCAGGTAGTAGGGGTGTCCCATTTCTTCCAAGGACTCCACGTGGAAGAGAATGACCCGGAGAAGCTTTTGAGGGAGAACCGTTGGGCGTCCAACTCATCGCAGGCCAACCTGGGAAATAAATATCATGGCCCATTTCTAAGCAGAGTAAAGCTATCAACAGCCAAGAATGGTGCTTCACATTTCACATCAATCGTACATCCAAGCCACATTCACTGAGGAAAAGTGAAGGTAGTTTTCAAATGATTGGAGGCAGCTCCTAAAGAGCTTTGTCCATCCAGCTAATATTTTTTTCCTTTAGCACAGATATAGCTAACTTGTATGCTGTGGCGGTAACTTGTATGCTGCGGCGGTGTCCCGCGTTACACTGTGGCAAAGTCATCACCCCGTCCAAATGGGAGGCTGCTATTGCCAGCTCCAGACTTGAAAAACAGTTGTGGGCAGTCCAACGAGTCCACGATGCAGCAGAGAGACTTCGTCTTTCTGTTCCAACATGGAGTAGCCCGAGACCTAGTAAAGCACATTCTGAAAGACCTAATAAAGTTTATCCACCCATCCATCTATGGCATTTATCTTTTCTAAGTACTCAGAGTTTACTTCTCACAATATATGACTTATGAGTAAGCTTTGAAGGCATACATAAATGAAGCAACCTAGAAGGCAAACCGCTAGGCATGTGCGAATATTCGAACATTTCTAATAACAATTTGAAAATCGTTCTATTGAATTCGGCACTAAAATCAAACAGCGCATGTTAGAAATGCCGCATATGTTTAGAATAATCATCACCAATGAAGAAACCTCAAAGGAACAAAATGTTGAAACAGTGTTTTAATCACTGAATCACCAAGATGCATGCAGCCCAAAGTATTGCACTATAATTGGCACTATATTGCAAAAGTATTGACAACTATCAATTATAGACATGTTGATCAGCACATGCGTGAAATAGCCAAACCATTTTGCAATAGATCCAATAAACAAGTGCATAGGTCATCCGTCTATCACCCTTCTAGATGACGAATATAACTACCTATTAGACAAGACATGAATCATGTGTTGTAATGCACATGCACATGCGCACAGTTTCGATAAGTCAATGTTTCATATATGTGTTCTTTTCTTTTCCAAATAAATTTCAGTTGAGAGTTCAGCCCTGTGTCTCGTCTCTGTCCGTATCTACCCCGTTGTGCTGTAAAATTTTCTACGATAAGTATTGCCGATTTGGCACCTTGGTATTGATTTTATTCTCTATTAATTGCAGGATGAAGGTGTGTTTGCTTAAACTCCCATGTCACCTAAGCGACAAAGTCATCAATCCACTATCTCCATCATGGCATACATGATATAGACTCTTAAATATTGATTAATACATTTATATCAAATTTTATTTTAAAGCTGTTAACAAAGTGGCACTTTAAATACTGTAGTAAGTTTTGTATTTATACCTGCTTACAGTTACAAAATATTTTTAAGGTTCTAGTTGCTGCTGCGTATTTGCTTGCCCTAGTTTACAAACTTGGGTATCTTTTTATTATTTGATAATAACAGCAATGTTCTTTTGCTAAAGCTAGTGACCATTGTTTGAAATAAAATGTAGAATTCTTGGGCTGCTTTGAAAGTGGACACATTACCACTCCAAGGCTGCTTAGAAAATGATTGCCTTCCTATACATAACTTGCAAGTGACGTCACCTCCTATCTTGAATCCATTGAGCCAACAAAGCACATACGCCTCAGTGACCATGCTGTGTTTACCTTCATGCAGCAGATCATTTGGCATATGCATGTTTTTGATGTTTTGCCTATGACTGAGATTCTTATGGTGAAAGCGAATCTTTCAGGACATCATGCAGCCTGCAAAAAAGCAGTGAAAAATGGGCAACTTGGATCCTCTGTGTCTGCGGTGTGAAAGTCCATGATGTCGCACTCAAATGGTGGAACAACTTTGCACGAGATTTTAGAAACATAACTTGCCCGTCATGATGAGATGCCGACACACATGAATGATGTTCAATGTCTTAAGGTCCTTCCTGTATGCACACATAAGTCATGTGCTTGAGCTCTTTCATGCTGTCACATTAATTCGTGATCACTTTTGGAAAACAGTACGTCCCCGCAAGTGGTCCTTTTTATCTGATTTACATACTTCTCATGAGGCACAAAATATCACACGATCTGTCATTGCAACATATTCGGTTGACAGGTAATGCGTGAGTTGCACAGCTTGAAAGAGAGAGAATAAACGTTTATGAGTATTGTCAGAGACTAAAGTGGGTGGGGCCGTTCGTCCAGAGCTCCACTGGCTCATGCGGCTCGTTGGGCTTGGTCCAGGCCTGCCAATTGGCTTCCCAAGGCCTGATCCGAGAGTCGAGTTTCCCACGACTAGTGTGGTAACGTGTGTGCTTGTATGAGCATCGAGTTTGCCGTAACAGGATGCGACGGACAGCTGTATGTAATGTGTGTAAGTGTGGGCACCCCCACGCACCAGGTGCACTCATCTTGATATTCGGAAGGGTGTATTTTAGAAAGTGTGTGCAGGTTGGGGTACAACATGTGCTCGATTGTGCTCTGTTTAGTTTCGGGTGAGGTGGCGCCATAGTGCATCGTTCCAGCTGTTGAGATTCGAAAATGTCTGCTCGACCGCTTGGTCGCTCATCGTAGTCAGGGGATATGGTGTCATCTACAGGCGCGCTCGTCGCTCGGTATGTACAGAGGGGTCCACTGTTAAAGGGAACACCAGAACCATGTACTCCGCTCGGCGCCACCGCCGGCCCGCTGCGGCAACTAGTTTCACGCAAGAGCAGTAGTAAGCGCTGTGGGCGGCGCTCAATTGTCTGCTACAGTTCCGGCCGTGCTTCAGCTCGTCGGGAAGCCAGCCGTCCCCATGCTTTGAAATCGGTCCGCAGACTGCATGGCCAAGTTCAGATCGAAAGCTGTGGCAAAACTCGAAAGAAATCATATAAAATACTACTTCAATGATAATTTTTCTGGTTAGAGAAGCGTTACTTCTCGTTTAGAGATGTCTTTTTCTAGCACAACTATATTGCTACATGCATGCATATTAATATTTTAGGAGACGACGCACGTGTGTGCCTGACGAGGAAGACGAAGGGTTGTCTCCGCTCGATCGCTGGTGAACCGGTCATGCCATTACTGCTGGTTTTAAATACATCTAATCCCCAGCTTCATCGATACGGCGTCTCTTCTTTTCCGTAACATACTTGGTGGAGGTGGAACGTTCCCCGTCTTCACCAGGAAGCTTCGCAGTGGCCGCACCGTTCAGTCTTCGGGCATGGCTACCAATGCCAACAACCCGTCAGCGTATCCACCTGTAGCTCCAGCCACTACTTACTTGACTATGCCCTACCCCCGTGATCCCGATACATTCTCTGCACAGCCTGGGCTTGACGTTGACTACTGGCTCCGTATGTACGAGCGGGTTAGCCAGACACATCGATGGGATCCCACCATGATGCTCGCCAACGTAATATTTTACTTGAACGGCACCCCACGTGTCTGGTTCGACGTCCATGAGGCTGAGCTCACCAGCTAGAATATCTTCAAGGAGCGACTAAGTGGTGTCTCTGGGGACCCGTCCGGTTGCCAAATGGAAACGCGAAAATAACTCGCCACTCGTGTGCTGTCCTCAACTGAGTTGTATGTCTCGTACATAGAGGATGTGCTCGCGTTGTGCGGTAAAAGTGGACGAGCGAATGCTAGAGAGTGACAAGGTCGGCCACATACTCAAGGGCATCACGGACAATGCCGTCAACTTGCTTGTAAACCAACGTCAAGACCGTAGATATGATTATGAATAAATGCCGCCGCTTCGAAATGGCCAAAAGTCGCCGTGTTCTGCCTCAATTTACACGGCTACCAAACACGGCTGTTACATCAACTTGCAGCGATCTCAGTGCCACACCACCCAAGCAGGACAGCGTGACACGTATAGTTCGACAGGAGCTTGAGGCGTCGAGTCCGGCACCATTTCCTTGACATCCGCTCAACCATGGCGCCGCACAAACGCCTCTGGCGGTCTCCGTTATTCAAGTCGTCGTGAGGCAGGAAATTGCAAAGCTCGGTTTTCCTGTGGCCTGCTCCGTCTCTTGATCCTCCTCCAGACTAATGACAATAAATAGACCACGCCATGACTCACATTTTCTTCCACGATCCCACAATCCGACGGAATGGAGAACTGCAGACCACAAACCGATCTGCTTCCGCTGCCGAGTTGGCCATATCTCCCGCTGCTGCTGCAGCACTTCGACGCCCTCAAACTGGGGCCCATTTTCCTCTTCTCGCCCACACGAGAGCTCCCGTCGGTATTCGCCCAGTCGTGTGTACCCTTCTTCCGACTAACAGCCGCTCCACCGATCGTTCGCCGTCACCTCAACACCGCCATTCCCTATTGCCCCAACCACGCCGCTATCCGTCGGCGGTCAAATATGGATCCTCTCAGACGGAAAACTAGACCATGCAGCTCCGGGAGGTAGTGCTGCATCAATTGCGACTGATCCAAATCCTCCGTTGACGCTCCCCACTAAAACGAACTTGATTGAGGTGTATGTGAACGGTATTTCTTTGACGGCGTTAGTTGACACCGGAGCTCAAGTGTCCATAATGAGTGCTCACCTGTGTCGCCTACTCAAAAAAGTCCTCACGTCTGTAGCGACTAAAGCCCTCCTAGCTGATGGCGGAACTGTGGCCATCACCAGAATGCGTATCGCTTGTGTTAGCATTGCCGGACGCCATGTCCCCATTTTATTTACGGTGCTTGAAAATTGCCCTCACAACCTAATCTTCGGCATGGACTTCCTATTGACGCATTCTGCCCTGATCGATTGTGCGGCCAGTACTCTCTGCCTAGAACTTCATCTTCTCCCGGATTCTCACTCTGAACTCCCGAACAGCCGTGCACCACCGACTTCTTCCGGATACCACCTAAAGCTCTCACATTTGTTGCATTGGCAACCCCCTCTCCCGTGCTCGATGGTGATTATATCGTGACGCCGATTCCTGATGTTCTCCTGGCGCGTGACATTACTGTCCCACACTCCGTCGTAGCCATGGCCTCTAACTGAACATATTTACCTGTTATCGATTTCGGTT